GAAGCGCAGAAAAATAATAGATAATATTCTTTATATAAAGAACTCAAAAATAGCAGTAATTGCAGAAACAAAATGAAGCATGCAATAAAGAATTGCAAGAAAGAAATCAATCAACATGTATCAGCAATTACAGAGCACATATACAGGTAAAAAGAGGCATGCAACCTAAGCTCTAGATACCAATTGTTGAAATTATAGTGGAGGATATTGGTTTCTTTAAACAGAAAAAGAGTAAAGAGAGAAAATCACACGCAGGATTTTTACTTATTCAGAAACTTGTGTTACCAAGTTTCCTACATCAAGGATCAATCAGGGAGTCCACTCCCTGTCACTTGCACTATGAAAAACAAGAAGAAAAAATATACAATATTCAGATACAGACTTAATAACCAAAGCCCAAAAGAAATAGCCTAAGCCCCAAATTGTAGAAAACAAGATCAAGAATCTCAACACTGTGAACTACTACAAATACAACAATTAATCAAATAGTAGCACACAGTTTCACACAAGAATGCTTGTGTTACCAGGACAGCTCCTCACAAGAACGTCTCCTCCTTGTATCACCGGAACCTCTTTCAGTCTTCAACCACCAAAGCTTCACTCTTCAAGAAACCACCAATTAGCCGATTGGAACCTGCAAACACAACAGAGACAACAGAACAAAAGAGAACCAGCCTAGCAATCTTGATTAACAGGTCACAAATCAGGTTTCAAATAGAAACCCTAATAGAGCTTGAACTAGGGATTTCACATATGAATATTGAAGAGAGAGAGAGAGAGAGAGAGAGAGAGAGAGCAATATTTTGAATGAATGACTATTGCATATGTATGTTAACATATATAAAATGAAACACAATGTTTTAACAAAGTTATAACACAAAATACTTAAATGCCCTTAACTAATATGCATAACAGAATATATAGTAAGGCTACTTATAGAAATACTCAATGCATATATAACAATATATCAAGCCATATTTTCAAAAAGGTGTGGTGTCCATTTTTTTGTTCCAGTGAGATCCACTAATTGTTTATGTCTATTGCATGACATATCTTGTATCATGTAATATGACACTTATAAAATCCTAATATTGATCATTAATGTACAGTCTAATATACCTGTGATTAGAATGTATAAATGTTGATTTTTTTTCTACCACTGTTTCTCATTTGTTTATAATTTTTTTTCTATTTTTATTTTTACCAATCCCTGTTTGCCTCTATTTTTTTCTCGTTTCTTTTTACCAACAAATCCATCTTCAAAAGCTTATGTGTCTGAACCACATTCACATGTAATATTCCTACGGGCTTCTTTATTGCCACCCTATAGAGATGTGAGAAAAGTATCAGGAATCTTTTTTAGAGCATAGGGTAAACAGAAAGTTTTTATAAACTTTAACTTTGGTGATTTGCAGTAATTTTTAACATCAAATGTTGTTATATTCAAATCATGTGTTAAATAGTAACATAATTCTAGTAGAAAAAAATATCAACATTTATACATTCTAATCACGGGTAAGTAGACAGGAGCTCACGACGGCAGTGGCGTCGTGCAAGACAGAAGTGATGGTCCACTTGCCTCTTTCCTGAACACACATGATCACAAAAACATAGAAAATTTCATTGAGTCAATTCATCGAACACCTCATTCGCAAAACACAAACATGTAAGAGAATGAAGAAGAAGAAGAAGAAGACAAACTCACGGAATCGAGCAGAAGGTTTGAGAAGGGAGACGCAGCGAGGGCATCGAGCAGAACCGAGGCCTATGTTGATGGTTGGATCTAGGACAAGCTCCCATTGCTTGAAAACTTCCTGAGAATCTGCAAAAATAAATGAATAAAGAAATAAAGAAGAAGAAAAAAATAAAGAACTCATAGAGAAATTTACGAAAAAAAAGAAACGAAGAAGAAGAAGATGTGAGAAATCCTAAGAGAGAGGTAGAAACCAGTAAGAGAGAAAGAGAGATGAAAATATATATAAGCCACAACTCTCTGCAGCGCTTAACTACGAGGAGCTAGAAAGACTGCCACAAGCGTGATGTTCAAACCCTAAGTTTGAGATTAACATTGGCTTTAGAATATGTGGCTGAAAAAAGTGAAGAGATAAGTTTGAGATTAGGTTAGGATTAATAAAAAAAAATATACATTGAAAGAGAGAAAAAAATATACATATTTAAAAAAAAAATTATAACAACCATTTTTAGAAAAATTTCCAAAAATTTTAAAATTATAAATATTTTTAGGGGTCAAAGCCCTCCACAAAATTTGAAAATATAATGTACCGTTCTCTTAACATGCCACAATACATATAATTATTAGGAGTTTTATTAACCTCCACAAAATAACCTCCACAAATTATATATTATTTTGTTGTGCATGTTGGCTCTTTCCAAAGTGTTTCATCACGAGCGTACATGTCCTGGCAACAAGGGACACAATTATTAAAAAAAAGGTACAAACAAACACCTATATACCAAAATTAAACCTTGGAATTAATTGAACAAACCTTCTGAATGATAAGAACTTCAAGCTTGGGGAATTTTTGAAGCAACTTCACTAGCAACTGTGGTTTACAGCAACAATAATAACTTAGCTCAAAGCGAAACAAATTGCAAAATTCAGGAAAATCTAGAATTGAAGTTTTAGTAAAGGGCTGCGTGTGGAAAAAATACGTAAAAAGACATCATATATTACTGTGAAAGCATACATATATACATACATATAAAACACTGAAAAATGAAAGTAAAGATACAAGTAAAGAACATAGGGATGAAGCAGTCAACTTTTTCAATATATGAAAAAATTTATATTATGGGGAGGCACACCTTTGCGAGACCAAGGAAGACCACATGGAGGGTTGGCAAAACGGGCCAATCCGGCCTCGCCCGGCCCAACCCGCATTCAACCAGAAAAAAACAAATCGTGTTAGGGTTGGCTCGAAAAAAAAACGAGCCAGAAAACCCAATCCAACTCAACCCAAGTCGGGTTAGGGTTGGCTTGCGGGTTGGCTCAAAAATATGGCTCGTGGGTTGGCTTAAAAAAATAGCTCGCGAGTTGGCTCGAAAATTGGCTCGCGGGTTGGCTCAAAAATTGCTCGCGGGTTGGCTCGTTTTCAGCCTATTTAAATTATCCTGTAGTAATAATGCACCAGCTATGTGACTTTCATAACCTTAAACAAAAGGTTACAAAATGAGAAATAAAAGCAAAATATTTTAGTTTCGAATTTTCTTACAAATTTGCATCAACATCAAGAAACAATCAGAACCACTTGCTACCAAGTGGGTAAGATATTTGAACCAAACATAGCCAGCATAGCCTAACAATATAAAAATGGCAGGGATGTGAGAAGATTAGGGACTTAGGTTTAGAGAAGGAAGAAAAATGATGACAACATGTGTGAGTTTTGTCCATTTTTGTATATTATATTTTGTATTTTTTTATTAAAAAAAAAACTCAACTCGCGAGTTGGCTCATTTGACCCGCGAGTTGGCTCGGGATGGCAGCTCATTTTTGCCAACCCAACCCGGCTCATTTTTGGCAGTTTACGAGCCAACGCGACGAATTGGCTCGTTTTTGCCAACCCTAACCACAGGGTTTAAGCAGTTAACTTGTTATTAGAGAAATATAATGTATACACCATTGATGAATCTTCATTTTTCAGCTTAAACAATTTTTAGTGAAATAGTCATTAAGATGGTATCAAAGCCGAGGTAAATATAGGATGATGAATTTGATTCTCGACGCTCTCTACTCTTTAGTAAAATTAAGTAAGCATAAAGTAACAATAAAAAAATGGGTATAAAATATGGGTTTTATATGTATAATGTTGCAGAAAAAAAATGTGTCCTGCAACAGGTACTACGACGTCGTTTTACACTTTCATTGAAATCCCTTTTTTTTTTCTTTATTCTTCTCGCTAGAAGACTAATTCAGTTCACCACCGTTTTGCTCTACCATTGTCGCGCTCCACCACCACCGTGCAACACCACCACCGCACCCCATCACCTGCTGATCAGCACCGCCATGACGCCCAGACGTAGTTAAAGACAAGGTTATGTGTCATTCTTCATCTCCACAACCAGGAAAAAAAATATAATCTTGCAAAATTCAAATGTAAGTTTGTTAGTAGTGAATCTCATTTTTCTGTTGGATGTCTTGCATTAATTGAGTTGAGGTTGAAATAAATTTTCTATTCACCACATAAGGGTTAGGATGCAAACGGGTAGGGGTCTAACTTTGAAATAAACTCAATCCCGTTGCTAAACTATAGATGGTTTCCGTTGGACAGAGTAGTAAATGTAATAAACTAAACAAACTCTTATTACGGTTGGGTTCAATACTAAACCTCTAGGACGTCCTTGTTGTAAAACCAAAAATTAGACATAAAAGTTTAAATAAATAAATAAATAATTTTAACAAATAAGGGATGTAAAATGTAGGGAAACTGGATTAATAAAGTAATGAGTTCATTTATTCTGTGACAATAATTTTACTGGAATAAAATTAGTGTTAATAATTTAGGCACAGTAGCAATGTGGACATGGACAACATTTTGTGAGTAACTCAAATGATTTTATTTTATTTTCAAGGGATGAGCTAAAGACCACTGCTAGAGAAGACCACCATTGTTGGGTATTTGGAGCATTGACAGCAAGTTTACAACCCACGAACTTGCTCTTTGTTGAAGGTGAATTTCATTTCTGGTGGTTTTTAATTTTTTATTTTGTTATTGAGCTTCACTAAAAGGTTATTTGTTCATATGTAAAACTGAGGATCAATAATACAAAAGTATAAAATTTATGATTTTTCATGCATCAAATTTCAAGGTAACTCTTAATCTATAATATTTTGCAGATTTTAAATTTTTCTTCATGATGGATCACTCTCAAATTGTAACTATTCAAGATATTGACATGAGTGGAAGTTTAGTATGTATAGATGATATTGTTGATTCAAAAAAGATACAAATGAATTTGGAGAAGATGATCTTAGTGAAATCATGGCAAACAAAGATGGTGAATGCGGGGAAGATCATGCACATGAAATTATGGAAGATGTTGATACTGTATTAAGCAAGACCCCAATTTTAAGTAGAGTTTTTGAGACATCAGAAGATACTTATGTTTTTATGATGCTTATGCAAAAGGCAAGGGATTCGAAATACACAAGCAATATCATATCAAGAGTACAATTACAAAACAAATATATAGGTGGAATTATATATGCTCGAAGCAAGGTGTCAAGAGACTACATGATAAAAGAGCTGGTGTTGATAATGTCAAAAGGCAAAGGGATACAAGGACTAATTGTTTGGCAATGTTACAAGTAAGGTTAGTGGATAACCTATGGAAAGTGGAGAAATTCAATGATATACACAATCATCCATTAATTAACACTCCAACAAAGGTGAAGAAGTTTCTTTCTCAGAATGAATTGAGATGCTCAAATTTGACAAAATCTGTTGTTTCTAAGCTATATCAAGAGGGTTTAAGATCTTCAAAAATCTCAAAGGTTGTGAGCGCTATGAACAAAGAGGTTAATCTTACTCCCGTTCAAATCAATAGTATTATATCTAGCCAGCGAAAGAATAATGTGTGGCGAGAATGTCAGGGCATCATCAAACACTTTCAAAAGAAGTCCATGGTTAATGGAACTTTTTATTTTGATATGGATTTGGCAGAAGATGGAACATTAAGAAGCGTATTCTGGGTAGATTGTAGGTCAAGAACTTCATATGCTCATTTTGGTGAAGTCTTTGTCTTTGATGTGACTTACAAAATAAACAAGTTCAGGTTTCCTATTGCTCTTTTTGTGGGGGTTAATCACCATGGGCAGACAATTTTATTTGCTGCCGCTTTGTTAGAAGATGAAACGGAGGCAACATTTACGTGGTTCTTTGAACAATTTCGGACATTTATGTTTGACAAGTCTCCTGTTGCTATTATCACTGATCAAGATAAAGCTATGGGAAAAGCAATAGCCAAGATATTTCCAGGAGCACGACATCGTTTTTGCGCTTGGCATATAAAGAAACATGTTGTGGAGCATAGTCAAGCACTGCGTGCACAATTTAAGGATAGTTTTGATGTTGACTTCCGTGCATGGTATAAAAGTCGAAACATTGATGAGTTTAGAGGCAAATGGGAAGTATCGAGGACTAAATTTGATATTAAAATAGGTAGTTGGTTGGCTAACATGTATGCTTCATGTCATCATTGGGCAAAAACATACTTGAAAGATATATTTTTGCTGGAATGACGACAAGTGGCCGAAGTGAGCATCAATGCATTTTTTGTTGGACAAGTACCTAAAATGCATAAAATTTAAACCAACAAAGTTCACTTTTCTTGAAACTGTATACATATTAAAAAAAATTAAATGTTGTTTGGCATGTTCTTTATGTATGCTTACAACTCTTGGATATTTGTAAGATTGTTGATGTTTGGAGGCACAGATCCACTTAATGAATTAGCATCTAAGCGCCTACAACCAAAATAGTATATTAATGCCAAAAGAAAAATCATTCAAAAGAAATATATATTCATGAATTTGTTTGAGGATTAATCTGGACACTCACAACACCTCCACACTCTGAACTAGTTTAATTGTAGATGGAATGTTGCCAATGAGTTGATTTCTTTCCAAAAGCCTGCCCAAATTCTTTTTCATTTTGACAGGTATATATTTTAGCTTGGAAGGCTGAAACAATGAAGATACTCTTGTTTAAAAGAGAATATATATAGTTTAGAAAATAAAGCTAATAATTCAGCAATGTATTTGTGCATCATTGGTAAAGTGACCGAAATGATAAGCAAGAAAGACCCAGTAGAAAAACAAAGAAAAAATAAGTGATTCTACAGAAAAACGCATGCTAACTCTAACCAATAAAGTTTTGACGAATTTCCAATAGAATGTGGAATTTGTCCACTAAAGCTATTGGAATTTAAAGATCTGCAATTCAAAGTAAATGATTCAGACTATGATATAAGAAAATATCATTAAATTACAAAAACTAAAGACACATTAGATATATGGCAGAATCCTCCTGTAGAAAATATGAATAAACATGAAACCATCATTCAGAGAATTTTCAGTTAGAACAATTAAAAAATCTTTTCAGATATTTGCACTAGACAACGGAGTTAAAAATCCTTACAGGAAGAGAAGCTGTTGCATGTATATATCCAATTATGTCTAGATGGGCGTCGTGGAGGTGCTGCACGGCGGTGACGAGGCGCGGTGGTGGTGGAGCGTGACCATGGTAGGGCGAACCGGTGGTGAACAGAGTTAGTGTTCTAGCAGGAAGAAGAAGGAAAAAAATAAAAGGGTTTTAATGGAAGTGTAAAACGACGTCGTAATACCTGTTGCATGACACACTTTTTTTTCTGCAACATTATACATATAAAACCCATAAAATATCCACATCTCAAGCTCAAAACTTTTGTGTAAGTGAATTTGTTAGAGAAATATAATATAAAAATTATTAATTGACCTTTATTTATCAGTTTAAACTTTTAGGTGAAATAGTGATTAACAGTTATACATGGTTGTGATAAAAAAGAAAAGAAAAAAAAGGCATTAGTTACCTGTATAATAACATAAGACAAATGCATGAATCTAATTTCACGAAGCGCGTTGACAATATTCACTACAGGATCCACGAGGCCATTTTCCATAGAAATGTTAAGCCTTGCTTCCACCAAATTTCCAACATTCTCAATAGAATAATCTAGAATTAAAGTAGCTTCAATGTCAAGGAAAATGAGAGAAGGAGTGTCGATTTCGAATTTGGTAACATTATGGAACCAAAAATCTACAATTAATGCAGAGCTTCTTCAACAAAGGCTTAGATATTTTGAAGGAGCCATGGGGAACCATAGTTTGACCTATCAAATTAACCGAAAACTCTTCAAGAAAGGGACAACCAGACAGGAAAATGGTGACATGGGAAACATCAGCGAAGTGAGCACCTATGATGTCGGCAATCTTAAGCAAGGGAAGTGGACAGAGGAAGGGACATTCATGATGCTGATGCAGCCATGGAGCTTTAAAATCACGAGTGTTTTGCAAGTGAAGAGGGTACTTAGGAGTTCCATGTTACCAGCAACGGCGAATGATACCCAAATCATGAGTTCGTTATAATCTGATGCCGGCTAAACAAAAAGTTAGGATTTTCTCAAAAGAGTAACCCTCCGGTTCTCAATTTCAATTAACAAAATAATAATATTCAACTCCTAGAATAAGGGTCATAAGGACCCTTTTATAGACTAATTACAAATTGATTGAAAATTCTAAATCTAAAATTCTAAAAATAATAAAACTTCCTAAAATAAATATAACAGTAATTAACATCTAAAAATAAATAAAAAATTACAAATAAATAATTCAAAATACATCCCAAATCTTTAATCTCAAATTACGCTAATTACGTTGCTTTCCTTTTCTTCCCAAACAAATCACAATCACATCTACTGCTTACTGGGACTTGGATTCGATTGTAATTAATTATATTTCAAATCATTGCCTCTTTCAACAATTGGACCATATTTATTAGGCCACAACTCTAATTGACTACAAGCTTCTTGAATCAATGGTTGGACCATGTACAATGGGCCAACTGTAAGTGCATCATTCTCTCATGCTAGGAAAAGATTCGTCCTCGAATCTTGTTTATCTCCACTGATCTCAATATCTTTAGACAAAAATTCAAATGATAAATCTTCCTCTATTAGATCTTCATAATCTGATTCACCATCAGATTTATTATAGACTGGATTATCATCATAAACTGAATCCTCATCATAAGATGGATAATCATCATAAATGGGATAATTATCAACAATCAGATAATCATCATAAATTGGATTATCATCATAGATCGGATCATCATCATAAACTGAATTATGATCATAGACTTCAAATTCATGAATGTTGATTTGCATCTCGATATCTTGAAAAGTGGACTGATTTTCAGGTCGTACTTCCCAATTTTGTCTCTGGTTTAGAATCACCAAGAGATTGACGTCCTCTTCTTAGTCAGCAGATGCGTCATCTAATTCCATTCCTTCTTTGGATTGAATGCCCAACTTTGTCAACGCAAGTCGCCGCTCAAAATATTGAATTTCCATGCTCTGCACCTCCGCAAGAGTTTGCTTCAAAATTTGAATTTTCATGCATACCCGCACGAGTCGTCGCTCCAAATCTTGAATTCTCTTTCTCTGTGCCCGCACACATAGTCGCTTCAAAACTTGGATTTTCTTGTCCAACGCATGCTCAAGTTGTTGCTTCAAATCCTGATATGCCTTCCGAGCTCTTCATTTTGTATATCTCGCGGGCCAATCTGTCGCAGTTGTCTATATACTTCAGAAATGAATCCATGTTCCCTACCCTCGTGACTCCGTCGCCATCGACCTCCACGATTCCGTTCAGCCATTGATTGATGGCAACCTAGTGCTCTGATACGAAATGATGCCGAAGCAGTAACTTATTGGCTAAACAAAAATAAGAACGAACACAAGGATTGTGAGAAAACACTATTTCTCTTTTTTTAATTTTCTTTAACCAAAAACAACCTTATAATAATAGGGTTCTACAAGCCTTAAATAGACAAAATAAAATAAAATAAAATAAAATAAAAGTAAATAACTATAATCATGCGCAATCAAAGGAGATAACGCACAATCAACGCACACTCAAACATAATCTAAAAATAACAAAAAGGGAAATAATTAACAATTATTGAAAAGTCTTAAATTATGGAATAAATTATAGATAAGCCCGATCCAAGTCAGTCAGCTCAGGTGCATCATCAATAATGCCAAAGCAGTAACCTATTGGCTAAACAGAAAGAAGAACGAACACAAGGATTATGAGAAAACACTATTTCTCTTTTCTTATTTTTCTTTAACCAAAAACAACCTTATAATAATAGGGTTCTACAAGCCTTAAATAGGAAAAATAAAATAACAAAAAAGTAAATAACTATAATCATGCGCAATCAAATGAGATAACACACAATCAACATACACTCAAATGGGAGGAGATATTTTAGACCGAATCGTCAAGTTTTTAAAGGAGATACATAAATATTTCGTATGAGCACCCAATGCTGTTATAATGACCTGAAGAAGACAATATACAAGTTGAGATTACAACGTGGTCAATCTATATCTCGGTTGATTGCTAGATGCGCCTCGGGTAAAGAAAGTTGAGTTGTTGTGGTGATTGTTGAGGATGAAGATGTGGCGTTAGTAGTGGATGTATTTCAAAATGATCTAGACTCCATGTTTAATAAATTGTATGTGGAAGTAGACTCCAGTGGACAATCTAGCAATCAGCGTCCCTTCCCTTCCATTCACTCCATCGACATTAACAAGGAGCCATTGGTGAATCCTAAAGATAGGTATGTGTCCCCCTCACATTACCCATGCCCCACCCCTCTAATGTCTATAGAAATGGTTCTAGCCCACGACATGTACGATCCGACGTGGCGTACAGACAGTTCCGACGAAAAGGTGGATGAAGGTGTTGTTTCGGACAGTAACTCATCAGATAACGATGTCAATGGTGATTTCGATTTATGTCCGTCTACTGCAGTGTGTCATTCGATGCCTTCAGTTGGAATAGTAGGAATGCAGGACCTGCCAATGGCAGGTTAGTAACCTTAATGGTTGAACTATTAACAAACTTAAGTGTTGATGACATAGTTGATAAATCGCGACGCATGTGTGATTATACCAGAGACGATAGAGACTGTTTTGGACTTAGACACCCCATTATACGAATATTAATTGGGCACATCTAGATCAGGAGTTTCCTGATTTCGAGGGATCACAATTACCTAACTGGTAGATGGGTCAAGAGCTATATAAGGACCGGGCATTTAAGAGCAAGCAGGATGTGCATATGGCAATAAAATAATTTTTTGTTGCGGAGATCGCACAACCGTTGTAGAAAATAGTGATACCAAAAGGTTGATAATGGTTTGTGAAAATCATAATGACAGTTATCCATGGAGAATGAGGGCATACGTAAGAAAAAGGTGGCACTGAATGGGTTATCGATAAATGGAATAATAAACATACATATGTTAGTCAAACTCTTTCGCAAAAACTCAAGCAGCTGCACACAAATTTTATTTGTTCAATGATCATAGGTATGTCAAATAGCCGCCATTTTATTAATATCCCTGCATTGTTATTAATACATTTTTGTTTGACCACTGCAGAAATGATAAGGTTAGAGCCTAGTGTTAAAAT